ATAAATATCCTTACTACTTCAGCTGTTACTGGTTTTATATTTAAACTGTCCCACCGTCTAGCAGCAGATCTTAGTGTGTATGGAATTCTTTTATCGAATTTAGTTTTTTTCCATGTTTGTCCAGGTTTATTCGGGAACGGCCTGCTGGATGCCGAGGCTTCCGTCTCCATAGCAACGCTCACGGTTAACGGCACTGACCCGGTGACGGCCGGAAACGGATCGGTCCCGACACACACTCCTCCTCACTGGATGCCTCGCACCGACAGCTCTTCATCATCATCATCCTCATCCTCCTCTTCATCAGTGGGTCCCACTGCTGTGGTCTCGCCTGATTGGTGGACATCCGTCTCCACGGCGACAAGCATGAGCACAGAGACTGGTACGGTCTTGGAGCGGCAGATGAAGGGTTAAATTAATACTTTGTTCAAATTGAGCATGTGCTCGGCTGCGTTTAGTGCAGTTCCTTTAAATATGGCAGATCAGATCCTCATAAAGGCATAAAGGGGACAGTTCACGCAAATATGACTTCGGTCACATGGCTGCTTCACATTTGCGACTTGCATTATATTGACTCACAGAGATGGGACTATTCTTCTGTATATCTGAAGAAAGTAAGTCATCTATCTGGTCATTTTTAGGTGAACTTTCCCTTTAAATTTCAAATGCTTCAGTTTATGTTTTATCATCTGTTTTATCCTTCTCTCTCTCTCTCTCTTTTATGTCAAACATCTCGCATCTTTTGTCCTCTACAGACCATCGGCTAATCTAATATAGCCCAGAATTCTCTCGTCTCTCTCTCTCTGTCCGTGTGTGTGTCTGTCTGTGTGTGTGTGTCTGTCTGTGTGTGTGTGTGTATGTGTGTGTGTAAGACGGAGTGTTTCAGTGTCCTTAGTGAAGGTTCTGTCCCAAAAGTCGTCTGTGAGTATGTGTCCTCTTGTGATGACCTCTACTGGAGCTTTTATTTGTGTCTGTCTCCTAATGATTAATCATCTTTCCTGAGGTGTGTGTGTGTGTGTGTGTGTGTGAGGGCTGTTCCTCTCGTCTTTCTGACTTTGACTTGAGCACCAGAATCACAATTACATTAACTGACTCTTAGAGAGAGAGACACACACTCAAAAGACGTCCAAAAGATGATGAGGCTTTATTTATCCGGGTGTGTGTTTCTTTGTCCAGGGAGCAGAATGAGGACAAAGTGGAGCCGAGGTAGGTAAAGTGGTCCACTGTTTTAAGTGGAACACCGTTTATGTGAAAACTGGGGGGTGTGGGGGCGGGGGTAGTGAGGTGGGACATGACCTCGGTTTTTTTAATGTTGACCTGTAGGCCAAAGGATTGGAACAGACGGGATATTGTGTTGAGGGCGTGCTGCATAGAGTCTGGGCTGTGAGCTAAGACGGCACAGTCATCGGCATACTGAAGCTCACAGATTTGGCGGGTCTTTGTCTTTGTGCGGGCCTGGAGCCGACGTATGTTGAAGAGGCTTCCTTCAAGTCGGTATTCCACATGGACACCGTCTTCATGTCCCATGACACGGTGGAAGAGGCAGGTGATGGCAGAGAGGAGGATGTTAAAGAGCACCGGAGCCAAGACACAGCCTTGCTTCACCCCAACGTTTACCTCGAAGGACTCTGACTGGAGTTCTCCAGTGAGCACTCTGGCTTGCATCCCGTCATGCAGTTGCTGTAGGATGCGGAGAAACTTGGGTGGTACCCCAAGTTTGGAGAGGTGTTTCCAGAGCAGTTCACGGTTGATGGTGTCAAGAGCTTTGCTGAGGTCGATGAAGGCAACGTAAAGGTCTTTGTGATGTTCTCGGCTCTTCTCCATCAGCTGCCTCAAGACAAAAACCATGTCTGTCGTGGATCTGGTCTTCCGGAAGCCACACTGAGTTTCCGGAAGCACAGCTTCCGAGATGTGATCAACCAGTCTGCTGAGCATGATCTTGGCCAGGACTTTCCCTGCGATGGAGAGGAGAGATATCCCACGGCTGTTGCCGCAGACTGCACGGTCTCCTTTCTGCTTGTAAATTACCACGATGTTAGCATCCTTCCAGTCCTGTGCGAGGGTCCCATGTTCCCAGATGTTTTGGATCAGGAGGTGCAGGCGACGCGTGAGGAGGTATCCTCCGTATTTAAAAACCTCTGCAGGGATTCCATCGGGTCCAGCGCTTTTGTTGTTCTTCAGCCCTGCAATAGCTTACCGGAGTTCTGAGTAAAGTGGTGGGGTGTCCAGGTGCATGGTAGGTGGCAGGTCTGGGAGATTATCCAGAATATGTGGGTCGACAGGGTTGACGTGGTTGAGGAGACTGTCAAAATGATTTGCCCAACGGGCGAGAATCTCGTGGCGGTCCTTAAAGAGGATGACGCCGTCAGCTGATCGGACTGGGGCAATCACCCTCTTCCTGGGGCCGTACAATGCTTTTATGGCATCGTAAAAGCCATGACTGTTGTTGCAGTCTGCCAGGTTCTGGATTTCTCGCGCCTTTTGCACCCACCAGGTGTCCTCC